AACCTCACCTATCCTGGGCTGGAAGACGATAAAAAGACCAAGAATCGTCCTCAGCCACGAGGTCTGTGCGACAGAGTGATATTTTTCCATCATCAAAATCCGGAAGACATTTTTGTCCAGGTCTCTGACCGGGACGACGAGAACTCAAAGGGAAGTAAGAGCAATGTATTCGAGGCAGAGATCGTCCTCAAGATCGTGAAGTATCTCGGACAGCAGGGGTATGGAACAGACAAGCTGGTCGTGTTGACTCCATATTTGGGTCAGCTTAGTCTACTGAGACAGACTCTAAGCAAACAGAACGACCCAGTTCTGAATGACCTCGACTCCCACAACCTTGTCAAAGCAGGTCTTCTGTCGCAGGCTGGTGCCTCCCATTCGAAGCGTCCAATCAAGCTGTCTACAATTGGTAAGTATGGAGAAGAAATTAGGTGCAAGCAAAGTCTGACCTGAGAAAATAGACAACTTCCAAGGAGAAGAGAGTGAGATAGTCATAGCGTCACTCACCCGCAGCAATCAAGTTGGCGACATAGGATTCATGGCAGCTCCCGAGCGCCTCAACGTCCTCCTTTCCCGAGCCCGAAATGTCCTCATTATGGTTGGAAACTCGGAAACATTCGTTTCTAGTCGGAAGGGCCAAAAGCACTGGAAGCCGCTAATCGACCAACTGAAGTCAGAGGGGCATCTATACGATGGACTGCCCGTCCAATGCGAACAGCATCCGCAGACAAATTCGATTCTCCGAACAGCGGAGGACTTCGATAGAGAATGCCCAGACGGAGGATGCTCTGCCCCTTGGTAGGTTTACCAGAACTTTTGCTGATATCTTAATACTGACTTTCCCATAGCGGCGTGAAACTGAGTTGCGGAGTACACGAGTGCCCCTCAAAATGTCACCAGCTTCTGGACCACTCAAAAATGAAGTGCACAAAAATAGTTAAATGGAAGTGTTCCCGCGGTCATTCCTTGTCTCTGTCCTGTTCCCAGGCCAAGGGTTCATGTCGTTTCTGCATCCAAGAAGATCAGGTAAAAGAGCGCAAGCGCAAACGCGATATCAGACTAGAGATAGAACGGCAAAGAAAGCAGAGCGAGTACGCCCGGAAGCTTGCAGAGGCTCAGGAGGAGGCTTCTCATCTCAAGCGTGTGCGACGCGATGAATTCGATGATATGGAGCGAGCGAAGGTCCTTGAACAGTACCGCCAGGAAATTGAGGATTTGAAGAATCCTCCGCGCCCTGTATCGCCTCAGCGGAAATTGAGCTCTGGGGCCATTCCTAGCACGCCCGCAACCATCACGGAAGCAAGCTCAGAATCCAGTGCCACAGGCACTCAAAGCCGTAGTGTGCAGCCTCCAAGTCGACAAGTCATGCCATCACAAAAGATGTCCGCGGCTCAAGCAGACTGGAAGTATCAAAAGAAGTTCCTCAACGCTCAAAGCCAGGAGATCGACAAGTTAATCGACATGATCGGACTTGAATCAGTGAAGACAAAGTTTTTGTCGATCAAAGCTAAAGTGGACGTCGCAATTAGACAGAACATTGATATGAGCCACGATCGATTCGGATCTGTATTGCTCGGGAATCCCGGTAGCGGGAAAACAACCGTTGCGCGTCTATACGCGAAGTTCCTATCGTCCATGGGGATCATTCCCGGCGACAAATTCATCGAGACAACCGGGTCTAGACTCGCGAACGATGGTGTCTCGGGATGTCAAAAAATCATCGAAAACCTCTTGAAAGACGGCGGCGGGGCCATCTTCATTGATGAAGCGTATCAGCTCGTCGGCAGCAGTTTCGGCGGCCCCCAAGTTCTGGACTTCCTCTTAGCTGAGATTGAAAACCTCACCGGAAAAGTGGTCTTCATTCTTGCGGGATATCAACGACCGATGGAGAAGTTCTTCGCATACAATTCCGGGCTTCCTAGTCGTTTCCCAAATGAGCTCAAGTTTGATGATTTCGACGACGCCGAGTTGATGCAGATTTTGGTCGGGTGCATCGAAAAGAAATACAAAAAGCAGATGAAGGTCGAGGATAACCTTGGCGGACTTTATTGTCGCATTGTAGCTCGTCGGGTTGGGAGCGGACGTGGTCGTGAGGGATTCGCCAATGCACGAGCCGTTGAGAATGCCATGGCCAAGATTTCTGAACGACAGGCTGTACGTCTCAGCCGGGAAACACGACAGGCTGCGAGCAAGGTTGATAATCTCTTTCTGAGCAAGGAAGACATGATCGGGCCAGATCCATCGCAGGCTTTGAAATCATCCAATGCTTGGCAAAAGCTGCAGACTATGATTGGTTTGGACTCTGTGAAGAAGACGGTGGAGGCCATACTAGACACCATGCGATACAACTACCAGCGTGAGCTGGATGAGAAGCCCCTGGTTGAGTACAGTCTCAACAAAGTTTTCTTGGGAAATCCCGGAACGGGGAAAACTTCTATCGCAAAGATCTACGGTCAGATACTTGTGGATATCGGGTTTTTGTCCAATGGCGAAGGTATGTGGGCTCCTCCGCTGTCTATGAAGTTTACTGACAATCGTAGTGGTGGTAAAGAACCCGTCAGACTTCGTTGGCAGTGTGATTGGAGAGTCCGAAAAGAACACCAAAGGGATACTTGCATCTACATTGGGAAAGGTTCTAGTCATCGACGAGGCCTATGGACTGTTCTCTGGAGGTACCTCGGATGGGACAGGTTCCAACAGTGACTCATACCGAGCTGCCGTGATAGACACCATCGTGGCAGAAGTGCAAAGCACACCTGGTGACGATAGGTGCGTCTTGCTTCTAGGTTACAAGGATCTTATGGAAGAGATGTTTCAAAAGGTCAACCCTGGCCTCACCCGACGTTTTCCAATTGACCAGGCATTTGTCTTCGAGGACTTCACCTCGAGTGAGCTGGATGCGATTTTGGACCTCAAGCTCAAAGAACAAGGGTTTGGAATAAATGATCGTGGCCGCTGTGTGGTATTGGAGATGCTCGAGCGTGCTCGGAATCGACCGCCTTTTGGAAATGCAGGCAAGATTGATAATCTGCTCAACGCCGCCAAGATGCGGTATCAAAAGCGCCTCTCGTCCATCAAACACCCCGGTTCTATTCCGGATTCTGTGCTTGATGCTTCTGACTTTGACGAAGACTTTGATCGTGCAGATAAGAAGGAAAGTGTTGCAAAGATGTTCGAAGGCGTCATAGGATGTGAAAGTATCGTTGCCAAACTAGAAGGCTATCGGCAAATGGTTCAGAGCCTTAGACGACTGGACTTGGATCCGCGCACGCAGTTGCCGTTTAACTTTGTTTTCCGTGGTCCTCCAGGTATACACCTCTCCGTTCAGTATTTGTCCGCCGAATATTGCTGACATTTAAATCCTAGGTACCGGAAAAACGAGCACAGCTAGAAAGATGGGGCAAGTCTACTATGACATGGGCTTGTTAGCTTCGAATGAAGTGGTCGAAACCTCAGCCACGGACTTGGTGGGTCAATATATAGGCCAGACAGGCCCGAAGACTCTGCAAGTCCTCGAACGTGGCCTTGGAAAGGTCTTGTTCATTGACGAAGCCTATCGGCTCGCTGAGGGACATTTCGCCAAAGAGGCCATGGATGAGATTGTGGATGCCATTACCAAGCCCAAGTTTGCTCAAAAGCTGATCATCATTCTGGCCGGTTATGATGGAGACATCAACCGTCTCATGTCAATCAATCTGGGGCTCACCAGTCGCTTCCCAGAGTCTCTTCAATTCGACCCATTGTCCTCAGCAGACTGTGTCAACTTAGTTTACGAGCTCTTGTTGAAAGAAAAAAGAGACCTCCTCAACAAATCACAGGCTCAGTTCGATCTAGTCTGCTTGGAGGGTCCAGATTTTGACTTTATGAAGGGAATGTCGCAGCGCTTTGACAGACTTGCGAAATCTGCAGGCTGGGCAAATGCACGAGACGTCGGAACGCTTACGAAGACAATCTTTCGCGAAACTCTTCTGTCATCTAGTGGGAAGAAGCTGGTGCTGAGCGAAGACACGGTGCTCGAAGCCCTCGACTCAATGATCAATGAGCGGTCCAGCCGGGAAGTCTATCCGCAAAACGGTCTATCAACTGCGATCCAAGCGGCAGAGCAAACAGACCTGGCTGTACGCACTCAACCTTTGAGTAAGCCTGTCACCAAGCTGGACAATCAAAGCTCGGTCATCGAGAATGAGGCCTCCAAGGAACCAGACATGACAGAGCCCAAGACAGAGAATTCCACTGCCACTGCAAAGCGAGATGCCGATGTTACAGATGAAGTATGGCATCAACTCGAAAAGGACAAGGCTCTAGCAGAAGCCAAAGAGAAAGAGTACTTGCGTTTGAAAGAGGAATATGAGAAGCAGAAGCAGGAGATATTAAAATTGAAGGCGGAGGAGGAAAAGGCCGCGCGGGAGCTGGAAGAGGCCAAAAGAAAAGCAGACGAAGATGCCAAAAGACTCCTCGAACAAGCCCGACTCAAGCTTGAGATGGAACGCAGGAGGCAGGAAGAGATCTTGGAGAAACTCCGCAAGCAGCAAGAGGCTTTGGCCGAGGCTCGCCGCAAGGAACAAGCTAATCAGATGAAGCTGAGGTCTATGGGAGTCTGTGTTGCTGGCTTTAAATGGCTTAAACAAAGCGGTGGTTACCGATGTGCTGGTGGTTCTCACTGGGTGTCAGATGGTCAGCTTGGAAGTTCCTGAGGTTGGGATATTGCATGGGGAATAGAATGTCATTAACATCTAATGAAGTCAGGTAGATCGCTATTCATATTTGTTCGCTCTTTCGCAAATTGGAAAGACTCTTCAGGAAGCGCACCTACAGTAGACATCGCGACAACGTATACATCATATCAAACGTTCACAACGCATCAAACGCTTACGTCGTCACACATTCACATCGCCATAAATTTCACACGACCTGTCGCATTACATTAGTCCTTCCTTCATTCCATCAACCAGTTCCCTAAACCAAGTTCCCAAATCACTTTCCTTCAAATAGCAACCGCCACAATGAACATTGACCAACTCGCCAACGGGATGAAGATCCTCACGGTGAACACCGAGCTGCTGATCTCCCTCATCAACGGCGACCTCGTGGCCAGCCCGATCGGCGCCTCCACCCTGCGCATGTCAGTGCGGCTCACCGAGCTCCCTGCCTATGTCACGAGCCCAACCTTCGTCTTCGAAGACCCCAAGGTATTCGAGGTCTACCTCGCCAGCACCGCACCGAACGCAACCGCGACCAAGCTCCGCCTCGCCCCCCTGCACCGGTTCATCGGCAGACGATTCCCCGAGCCGAGCCTCCGCGGCCTGTCCGGCGACGGATACTGCCGCCTGTCTCGCAACAAGCCGACCGAGGTCCGCGAGTTCTTCATGGCACTGCCGTTCCCGTACCCGAGCATGGACGGCGTCTTCATCGACTACGTGACCCACCCCGAGGGCTTGGAGTTCATCACCCTCAACTTGGATTGGAGGGCTGCTTGTCGCGCTATCCCGGCGGGACACAATGTGCAGGAGGTCATCATTGATCTCACCGGCGCGGAGAGACTCAATTCGAGCTACGTCTCGCGTTTGGTGCAGTTTGTGACTACCATTCTCGCTATGAAGGCCAAGGGCTCGTTCTCCAGCCGTCTTCGTGCCGATGAGCCCTACCAGTGGATGCAGTGTGTCGCGGACGCTATGGTTAGCAAGGTGGTTCCTGGCAGTGAGGCTCGTGACGACATCCGATCTTAAGTGTCCGGATTTGGCAAGGCAGGTGATGAGCCTGCTTGCTAGGTTGGCCCACAGGACTGAGAATTGGAACTGGGCATGTCTCCTTAGGATTTTGTCTGTCCAAGAAATACCTCATGATCGTTGGAGCTTGGTGGAGATACTGGAATGGAAATAAGCTTATCAAGACATCAAGACCCGGCCGGGTAAATTTCGGAGATTTCCATTCTGCATAATTCACCGATGACTAAATTCGTAAAAGTAGTTATTCCCCTCCAAGTCCATTGCCCCTCAATCCCTCTATCATTCACCTCTAAACAATCATGGTTTACACAATCGTCGTCCGTATGTGATACCCCTCGTCTTGCTATTCCCAACGCTGACAGTCGTAGACCTCCGTGCCAAGCCGGACGAAGAGTCCATCTCCAAGCTCAAGGCCAAGCTCGTTGAAGCTTCCAACGTCTACTCGAACGACAAGGAAACCCTCTCCTGGTTTGTGTCGCAGTCCGTCTTCGACAAGCAGGATTTCACCATCGTCGAGCGCTACGCCCAGGAATCGTCGCAGCAGTACCACCTCAACAACCCTTACTGGAAGACTTTCGACCCCTACGTCATTCCTCTGTTGGAGAAGGATATGGATATGCACCGCTTGGAGGAGTTGGAGGGCTCTAAGATGTAAATTAGAAGAGAACTACTGTACACCCCCAAACCGACTATTTGCCTATCTACACACCAGTTTAATTTGGCCTGGTTGAATATATATTCTGATCTGGTAACTATTCCCATCAATGACATAACCATCATATGACTTTTTCTACCCTTAGTTTTGGAACTGCTAAGAAATTAGTCATAGATGATAGATGTCGGCTAAGTCTACAACCATGCCAGTCAAAGAAATAAGAGACGGTTCGAGATGCTTCGATGCTTCCGGAAGTACCTACATAGGGAAGGAGTCTAGGTCCCGGCCGATCATATTCCCCCCACATCAACCCAACATAGACCGCTGTCTCAGCCGTCAACCAACGGAGTTAACCGATTCTAGACAGTCTCAAGGCGTAGACGATACTGAGGGCCGACACAATTAGCTTCCGTAAGTTTTATTCGGACAAGTTGCGCGTCAAAACCTGGTAGGAATGGCGAACGTGGTGCCTTAATATCGGTAGAAGCTAAAAACTGTTCCCGTCGGACTCCTTAGCTCCCAGAGCTTTGACGTCGAATTGCTCTGCCCGGGGGATCTACAGCCCCAACGATGGCTATTGGCTCGGACTGCACGGTAGTGGCATGGTCTCGTGAGGCAGTACACTGTATAGTAGAGGCGATGACAACGGTCCGACAATGACCTTGAGAGGTTTTCCAATATAGCAAAACCTAAAGGTCTGTTAGCATTCTAGTATATATAATTTACTAGCTTTATACTGACCTTTTGTTAAATTTGAGAATAAGACAGAATTAGTAGTTTTTACTAAATAGCAGACGTAGTAGTAGATACTAGTTCCACCTACCCTGTAAGCACGCGTCTCTTTGTTTCACTTCCCCCAAATCTGTGTTCTCTCCGTTCTCGCGTGAATTCAACCCTTCTTTCTTTCAGTCCATGGTTCTTATTTCATCAGAAATAGACCATGGCGCTGAATGCTTCCGATACTTGGGATCTCTGCCCACAGGCTGCTGATCTCCATTTTGGCCCCTCGATCGATGCCCGGTGCCGCGGAGGCTTTGATTTCACCCTCACCTTCGAACAATCCATCCTGTCTATTGCTCCTTCGGCCCTGCTGCTCCTTATCGTTCCCTTCCGATTATACTGGCTGTCTCGCACCAGCCTTAAGACCAATGTCTCCTTCTCCCTGGCGTGCTCGAGCAAGCTACTAGCCGCTGTTGCTCTGTTTGGTGTCCAAGTCGCCTTACTAGTGTTATGGGTTCGAAATCCACAGGTCCAAACGGTCGCGACCATCCCGGCTGCCGCCCTGTCGTTGGTCGATGCGCTGTCTATCTGTCTGCTTTCCTACATGGAGCATACTCGTTCCATTCGGCCTTCCACCCTCTTGGGAGTCTTTCTCTTGGCTTCGCTCGTCCTGGATATCCCCCAGTCGCGAACACTCTTCCTGATGGGGGACCAGACGCCCATGGCAGCGGTATTTACTGCAGCGACGGGTCTCAAGGTAATACTGCTCATGTTCGAGGCACAGAGTAAGATCCATGAACTCAGGCTGCCGTATCGCCACCATCCTCCCGAAGCGACAGCAAATGTGTGGGCGCGCACCCTATTCTGGTGGCTCAATCCGCTGTTCTTCAGGGGATTTGCCCGTTTGCTATCAATCGAGGATCTTTTCTCGATGGACAGCAAACTCGCTACCTTCCATCTTCGAGAACGGATGCAAGCCAGCTGGGCCCGTCGAGGTACTTGAATGCTCCCCATTGGTGATCATTTGGCTAACGAAAACTATAGCGCACTCCAATTCACCCTACGCGTTGATCATGGCCACTATCTCATGCATGCGATGGGCCCTCTTGTCGGCCGTCGGACCGCGACTGGCCAAGATCGGCTTCACATACGCCCAACCATTCCTGATCAGCCGTGTTATCAGTTTTGTCGAAGCCCCGGCTTCCGAACAACTCCGCAGCCATGCCTTAGGGCTTATGGCGGCTGCTTTCCTAGTCTACATCAGTATTGCCGTAAGTCGTTCCTGCACCCCTCTCGACCTGTGGGAGATCCTGGATGCTGAGTTTCGATAGATCACTACCGTCCTCTACAAGCGTGAAATGTACAGAATGATTGCAATGGCCCGGGGCTCTTTGGTCAGTCTCGTATACAGTCAGACATTGCAGATGCCTGACTCGTACGATGAATCGGCCGCGCTTACGCTTATGAGCACGGACATCGATCGTGTCACCGTGGGATTACAAAATATCCATGAGGTATGGGCACGCATCACGGAGATTGCAATCGGCATGTGGCTGCTGGTTGATCAATTGGGCGCGGTGGCCGTGCTGCCCATTGGACTGATTGTCGGTATGTTGATAGCTCCTATCCTTGTAGATTCTTAACGTCCGAAACGACACTAACAGACCGCAGTGTGCACCTTTGCCAACTCGCAACTTTCCAAATTAATTGTCGGAAAGCAAAAGGTCTGGAACGCGGCTGTGCAGAAACGCATTGCCGTCACGGCATCTATGCTGGGTTCGATGAAGAGCATGAAAATCATGGGCATGACTGAAGTGGTGGAGAGTAGCGTGCAGGAGTACCGCCGCAAGGAAATCCAGTCCGCCATGGGATTTCGCTGGCTGGCATTGTGGACGAACACCATTGCTTCTGCCCCGTTGATATTCGCCCCCGTCCTGACGTTCGTGGTGTTTGTGGCACAAGCCACTGCTCGCGGTACCGATAGCCTGTCCACGAACCAGGCTTTTACGTCTCTCTCCATTATAACTTTGGTCACCCAACCCGCCTCCCTCCTTATGTTTGCGATTAATGAGTCTGCAGCCATGAAAGGCTGCTTTGATCGGCTCCAGAAATTCCTTCGTGCTCCAGCAGGTTCGGATAGTCGCGGAGTCACTGGACTCGGTGGTTCTCGCAGTGGTGACTCAAGCTTAGAGGTGAGCCTTAGCCATCCCAACGGGACAATGCGTGAGGGTGAGAAAGTGCCAGAGACTACTACCCATTCGACCCCTACCATTAAGGTTCAGCAAGTGACGATCCGGCCTGCACCAACCGTCGACCCAGCTATAAGTCAGGTATCCATGGACTGTCCAGAAGGCTCCCTCACGCTGGTTGTGGGACCCGTCGGCTGCGGAAAATCGACACTGCTCCGAGCGGTCTTGGGAGAACTACCCTGCGACGCAGGCACTATTGCCGTCTCCACCAAAAACATTGCCTTTTGTGCTCAGAGCCCCTGGTTGCCCAATGGTACCATCAAAGATGTTATCTGCGGGTTTTGCGACGAGGAAAAAATTGATCATGTATGGTTTCAGACTACCATTCATGCCTGTGCTCTGGAAGAAGACCTGTCGCAGCTCCCTCATGCCGAACAGACTGTAGTTGGGAGCCGAGGAGTAACCCTTAGCGGCGGCCAAAAGCAGAGAGTAGTACGTTCAACTAGCTTCTATCCTGTTCAACGTTTACCAACCACTAATTCTTTTTTGTAGGCGCTTGCTCGAGCGGTCTACGCTAGACGCAGTATTATTTTACTGGATGATGTTCTGAGTGCCCTGGATCAGAAGACCGAAGCACTGGTCGTAGACCGCTTATTCGGCGAGCAAGGATTACTTCGGCGGTTGCAGACTACTATCCTCCTGGTGACTCACTCCGGTATGTACCACAATCGGTCCTATAATTGAAGACGTAACTAATCATTTCCAGTGCGCCATCTCAACATCGCCGACCAGGTTATCGTTCTAACTCGGGAGGGAAAGGTCCGAGAGGTTTTGAGCGGCCAGGACATCCAGAAAAAGAAAACAGATATAGCGACCTCCGACTGTGAGGAGGTCCTCAGTGCAGAGGACGTCGCCAGTGCACCCCAGCCATCCTCCAAACCACGGCCGAAAATCAAGGCGCCGGGACCAGATGATGCAGATCTAACACGCCAAACTGGTGACATGGCAGTCTATGCGTACTACTTCCGATCTTTTGGCTGGCCTCGGACATTTGGCTTCATAGCTTGTACTGCGTTGTTTACCTTTGCAACCACCTTCCAGCGTAAGTTCAGTCGAACTGTTCCAGATGAACCGACTCGGATGCTAACAGTATACAGAGATCTGGCTTCAATGGTGGACAAATGTGAACGGAGGTTCTATTGGAAAATATATGAGTGTCTATGTTGTTCTGGCTGTTGCCGCTATGCTTTCCCGCTGTCTAACCTTCTGGTATGTGTCGTTTCGCAAAAGGAAATTGAGATGAAAGTCTAACAATTGGCGCAGGTGGGCTCTGATCTGGATGTCGCCAATCTCCTCTCTCAATCTTCATCGAATCCTTTTGCGGGTTGCTGTTGGGTAAGGGCGAAGGTCTTTCTTAAAGCTGACAACTGCTAATCTTTCATAGCGCGCCTTTATCTTTCTTTGCAAAAACCGATAGTGGTGTGATACTGAACCAGTAAGGCCTTTGGAAGTGATAAAAGACTCGATTCTAACATGACGCAGGTTCAGCCAGGACATCGGTTTGATTGACCGGGTACTGCCTCTTTGTCTAATTCGCATGGTTGTCCGTAAGTGTCTCCAAGGAGTATATGCATGGAGGTAGGCTGATCCAGAATACAGAGATTTTCCAAATCCTTTCCCAGACAGCACTTATCGCGATGGGCTCATCTTACATGTCCGTTTGTATTCCAATCTGTGCCGTCACCGTGTACTGGCTGCAGCGGTTCTACCTCCGCACGTCGCGCCAACTGCGATTCCTCGATCTCGAGTCCCGGAGCCCGCTGTACAGTCATTTCCTGGAGACCCTAGAGGGCCTGTCCACACTTCGTGCGTTTGGCTGGCAGGAGAAATTCCAGGAGACCAACACCAAGCTGCTGGACACCACCCAGAGGCCGTTCTACTTGATGTACTGCATCCAATGCTGGCTCAACCTTGTTCTCGATCTCCTTGTTGCGGCAGTTGGCGTTGTAGTCATTGCCCTGGCGGTCTTACTGCCGCATATGACTAGTGCGGGCACTATCGGCCTGGCACTGAATAATGTTCTCGGATTCAACCAAGCTCTGGCTGTTTTGATTGACAGCTGGACACAATTAGAGACCTCGCTGGGAGCGATTGCGAGATTGAAGAATTTGGAGCAAACTGTCAAACCTGAGTATCAGGAAGGGGAAGATACTACTCCCCCGGATACATGGCCGGAGCATGGTGCTATTGAATTGAAGGATATTTCGGCTTCTTACAGGTAAGCTAGGTTTGATTGGTTACTATGGACGACGCTGACCAGTACTTAGCCCCTCCATCCCAGCTCTGAAGAAGATCTCCATGTCTATACTGCCTGGCCAGAAAGTAGGCATCTGTGGGCGGACCGGAAGGTGGGTATTTCTCTTTCCCCAGGAATCTCCTGTTTGCTCACAATGAATGATAATATAGCGGCAAGAGCTCACTTCTGCTATCCTTACTCCGCCTATTGGACCTTGACAGTGGAAGTATTGCAATTGACGGATACGACCTACAAACCCTGCCACGGGAGCTAGTCCGCAGTCGTCTCGTCGCCATCCCACAAGAGCCATTCTTCTTGAGCGAATCCGTTCGAATCAACGTCGACCCCAGCAACAAGTTACCCGACGAAGCTATCATCAACGCTCTCAAGAAAACAAAGGTTTGGGACGCCATCGAGAAGCGTGGTGGATTAGACGCACAAATGAAGGAGCAGCCCCTGTCACAGGGAGAGCAGCAACTATTCTGTCTAGCTCGCACGATGCTGCGCTCAGGGAAGATTCTGATCCTCGACGAAGCAACAAGCAACGTCGACGCCGAGACGGATCAGGTCATGCAAGGGATCATTCGGGATGAGTTCCAGGACTACACGGTGCTTACCGTTGCTCATCGGTTGGATACGATTATGGATTCGGACGTGGTTGCGGTGTTGGATCAGGGGAGGTTGGCTGAGTATGGGCCTCCGCGGGATTTGCTGGCTCGGCCGTCTATGTTTGCGGACCTGGTGGGTAGGTCTAGCGTGGAGAGTGCGGTTATTACTCCGTCGGCCTGAAGCAAAACGGTGGGAGTAAAAAAAAAAAAACTCAGACAGGTAGACTAAATTTACAAAAGAAGAAATCACTATTTTGGATTTGGTCATTCCTCGGATGTCAATTCTAGGCAATGTTGACTATGTCCAAGAGTAGCTTTATGAAACTAGCCGGTGGCATCATGTGACAGACCTTTACTGTGGCTGACGGTGAGGGTGGCTTACAGCATTTAGTGGCTGTGAGATCAATTACATTGTGAAAAAGCGCCTACTAAGAACGGCCTTACCCAATCGTTTATAATGTGTGTCGCTAGTCATTTGAGGGTGTGTATTCTGTACAGTAATTCTCTTCTCGGCATAACAGGATTGTCTTCTATGTGAGGGGCAATGGAATGTTCCCCTGAAGATTATCAAGTCAGGCACTAACCCTGTGGGAGATCGGCACATTATTCTAGGAACCTAACACCTGACAATCCTACTCCGAAGCGCCGTGTCACGTCCAGACACGTATTCCAAGCCCCCACGAGATCGCGGAATCATTCCTCTGCACCCTACCCCTTAAGCGGGGGTTCCTCGGCATCCAGGGCTGGAAAGATCACGCTCCGAGACGCATGACTCGGTCCAACGCAGAAAAAGTTGGGGAAAGGAAAATCTGGGGAAATGCGAAACGCACAGACATCGAATCTTGGAAGGGCGGTGATTTGGTTCCTTGGCCGCTCGGATAATTCAGCCAATCATGAGGGAGGAAGAGTTTTCTTTTCTTTTTCTTTTCTTTTTTCTTTTGCAACGTCATTTTGTGTTTTGTCTGGGGAACGGCACTTTCCCTTTTCTGTCTCGGACTCCTCGGCTCAGCTGGACGACTGCCGAGGAGTTGGCCTGACACTATTCTTACGTGCACAGTGCGTGCGCAGTGCGCAGGGTACTCGGTACGTACGGTGAGTCAATTATGGAAGACACCTCCTGGGCAGGTACCGTGCAAGCCTAGCCGACTAGACTTGGATCTACGGGGCCAAGGGAGAATATCCCGCAAATTTGCCAGCGCGATGGAGTCATCGTACAGGCGATCTACAATAGATGTGCAATTTAGCATAATTCTTCATCGGCAACTTAAGTATAGTTAATGACTATATAGTTATAGCTAACTACTATTAGTATACGGAGTATATGCTGTATACATATATCAACTTACATTATATACCTGTGCAACCATCAGCTGGACATGCAGAAATAATAAATGTGTTGCACAAAGCCCCTGATGTTCTGAAATAGAAAGTGGACACGGGCTGGTAAATGATGCAATTGCTGGAGCAGAAAAATACCTTTTCTCTTGGTATGTATTTTATAATACATCGTGAGTATTGGTAATATTCAGGTTCAACCAGCTACTTCTACTAGCTACTACAATCCTCCATACTATCCAATGTATACAATTTTCCATGTATACAATGTTCTATGTATGCAATTGTATCTAATGCCCAATGGCGCAACCCCTGACGTGATCGTGAAATGGCCCATCTGTTGCGGTGTGATTCCCAGAACAACGTGAGCTCGACATTGGAAAGCAATAGGATCTGGACACTCGGTGATCCTGAAATGAGAGGTTTTCTGCATTTCCTGGGGGTAATGGAAATGCTGATTGGCTGCCCAGCCAGTTTTTGTTACGTCTTGCCACTCACCATTGGTGGAGCCGCCCCAGTCAGATGACTGGGTTGCCCAGAGGACAGCTGGTAAAGCAGCCAGAGTTAGGGTGTCTGGGGGAGACTGGCAGCCAATCATATTGTAGCACCAGATCACAGGGGGGTCGAAAGGGGAAATATCCCTGGCTGGTTTAGGCTGATGACGACGAAGGAAAGGGATAAATGAAAATTCAAAATGAAAATTCAAAATTCAAAAAGAAAAAAACAAAAAGCCCCCACACGGCCTTGTGACTGGATGTCGTGCCTGGATCTGGAAATGACTCCAAAAACGTGAAAATGTCAAAAAAGGGCCCTGGGACTATATAACATCAGGGCCCCGCGGTTTGTTAGCCATATCCACACATCCTGCAAATCCTTCATGGAAGTTTCAATACCCTTCACAGCATAGACTGTTCATACATCTACATCCCATCTACATCACATCTACATCTACTTCTAATTCCCCAACCACCATACATCAAATCAACATGCCTTCTTCAAATTACCGCGTCGTTGAGCCGCACCCATCTGTCCCCCACGCCGGTCGCCCAGCAGTCTACACCGGCCGTGGCGGATGTGGAAACGTCGTCAACCTCAAGAACACCAAGACCACCGACTCGCGCAGCGCCAGTGGACCAGCCTCTCTCGCCCGTCTCGACTCGCGCCTGCCAACCAGCTTTGTCTCCGGCCGTGGCGGTGCTGGCAACATCCACAGCAGCAGCGAGCGCGCCATCTTCAGCTTCGACGAAGAGCTCGAGCGTGACCTGCGCCAGGCTGCCCCCGTCTACCACGTCGGCCGTGGCGGTGCCGGCAACACCATCTTCCGCGACGACTGCAGCAATTCTATTCTGACTCGCAAGTACTCGGCTGGTAGTACGGCTACCAACTCCAGCACTGGCTCCGTGGCAGATCGGGCTCGTGACATGGCCCGTCGTGGTCTCGAGAAGGGCTGGGGCAAGCTGAAGGGTACTGCCTAGAGCATATCTTTTCTACATCCTACACCAACGACATAACGACAAAAAAAGTTCTTTGCCTTTTCTCTCTTTAACATGCTCATTCTCATTTTTTAATATGGGTTTCCATCGGACCGGATTGAAACATCGAGGATGACAATACCCTCTACTACTACATGTCATGTTTCTTTCTGCTGTCTATGGAAATACCCCGAGTCGAATTCCCTCACCATCTCTTTGTTTCCGCATGAAACTCCAACCTCTTCACTCTCAACCATGGGCAAACCGGCGTTTTCTTTGTTCTTTGTGGTTCATTTGCGCCTAGAGCCAAACCACCCTGCATCAACGCCAGGTTCTGGAAACCGGGTCCTATTCTTCTACGGAGTAGTCTCAAATTCAACATACCCAAGATCGCGCCATCGAACAACACTTGTCTGGTTGCATCATTCCGGAGTTCCGTTTTCATTTCCCATTACCCATTTCCCATTGCTCCATCTTACTCTACTCTGTGTCGCAATTTTCTGTATTTCTTTGCTGCTTTCAACAATATTCCCCCCATATTGCGCCATTCCGAGGGCTACTACTTCCTAGCCATGGGTCTAAACAAATCACAATACCAAATACAAAATACAATACATGCTTGGGGTTCTTGTCTTCCCTGGCTGGATTACACGTCTCCAAAAAAACAAAAATATCTCCAATTACATCATTGTAGCCGTAGATTCCGTACTTTCAAGACGTGCTTGTTGTGGTATTGCCGGGTGCGGTTCCACCTATGGCGAATATACTCGCACGTCAGGTGTAATGTCGTACCCGCTGCTAGGCGATGACAGCCGGACATGATGTTTGGGGATATCCACAGGTGTCTGTCTGTACAGCGTAGAAACTAGTATTATTTGGGATCTCCGGTCTAGAATATTCCATTCTCTTTGTTCTTATTATTCGGTTGATGTGGATTTCGCTTTCGGTTTCGATATTCGCTTTCGGTTTCGATATTTTGGACTTTGTGTTTTGGTACGTGGCGACATGCGTGTTCTTTTTCATAGTTTGCCTGTATATTTGTTCTCTATTAAGACGTGCAACCGTTAATAGAATAGGATCCTTTGTTTAAAATAGAAATTGCCTCCTTGGCTTACTCATGACTTCCATCCGGGTACTTCGGGTACTTGGTTGGTTACCAATCTATGAGACTATGACTACATGTAGTTGAGTCATAACTATGAATAGGAGAAGGAGAATTGGAGAATGAACATCGGCATTATTTACCCATAGTCAGAGGTGGAATGAATCAGATGACTGCCACTGCACTAAATATTCCAAGTAGAATGCAAATATATCTACCGGATCTAATCAATCTACGCAGGGAATCCATGACGAGAACTGTAGTATGTCCGAGTAAATTATGTCTAGAGTAGAACCATCCCCAAGACGCAGAGACTGTATTTGCAAAGTCAGAGCCAATGCCAGACGACATAAGCTGGAAGAAAATTGAAGCTGGGGTATCAAGAGTCAGGATACGACTCGGATTGTGATGTTGGTCGATCACTTCTTATGCACTGCCAATTGCATGATGATCGACCAGTGACAAGATCTGTTTCTTGTGTTGTTTGTTATGGAATGGGAGATGGTGCCTAGGATCGCGGTGGAGGCAGTGATGTGATCCGGAGTGACTCGGTAGAAGGCCACCATGATATCAAAGACTTCGTCAGAGACGAGGCCTTTATGCAAATCGCTTGTGGATCACCTCGGGATCCTCGTGCCATTCGTCTGCGCTTACCCACATCTAGACAGTATTTAGTCAGCAATGATGAAGTAGACATGAGGGATTAACATACCTTTCTAAACGTGCTCAGCCCGGCAAGAATGCTACCACCAATCCACGTGGTGTACTTCCGCTCGGCAGGCGCGGAAATGCGGATCTTCATGTCCTCGACGGCTAGTTTTTTGATCTCGCGCATCAACCGATCAGGGAAGTTCTTGCACAGTGTTGAACCGCCAGAAAGCACAATATTGAGGTATAGCGATTTTCGCAGGTCGAGATCTGTGCGGGTGATGGCGTCCTGCACGATCTGATGCACACCGGGATACTCGAGGCCAATGAGCTCGGGATCGAAGAGGATCTCAGGCGCACGGTAACGTTCTTGGCCGATCTAGACAAGCCCATTAGTATAACCCAAGACGAACGGTTCCGTAGACATACCTTGATCTTGTGACCATCCGGAAGAACATAGTCCATTGCTTTAGCATCAGACTTGTGGTAGCTGTTCATCCACTCCTTCTCTTCCCGCTTCGGATCCAGCGACACATAACAGACCTTCTCCTTGATCATCCGTACCACCTCCTTCTCAGCACTAGTGTGCAGCACATGTCCAGCCTTTCGCAGCAGCAACTGCATCTGTTCCGTAACATCACGACCAGCAACATCAATTCTGCGAATACTGTTCGGAATAGCGAAACCCTCGAAAACAGGCACCGCGTGGGAAACACCATCCCCAGAATCCAAAACCACACCCGTAGTCCGACCAGACGCATACAGCGACAACACAGCCTGGATCGACATGTACAGGGCCGGCACGTTAAAAGCCTCAAACATAAGCTGGGCTGCGATATCACGGTTGGCGCGAGGGTTCAGCGGCGGCTCCGTGAGGAGGACGGGGTGTTCTTCGGGGAGGGTCTTGAGCTCGTTTTCGTAGACGTAGTGCCAAATCGATTCCATATCTTCCCAATTCGTGACAATGCCGTGTTCCAGAGGATACCTGATCTTCAACAGTCCGCGGAGTTCTTGTGCACGGGACCCGATGAATGAGTCTCCTTCCAGGCCGCCGGCCATCACCCGTGGGTGCTTGGGCCGGCCGACGAATGACGGGAAATAACATGATGGAATTTCCTCGCCGGCAAAGCCTGCTCGGATTGTGCCACTGCCGTTGTCGATGACAATCGGCACGTTGTGGAGAGTTGCCTCAGCCATTGCGGGGAGTGTTGGGGATGGGAGGTGAGGTCGGGCAAGGACACGCGCGGGTACAGACGGCCTCTCGGCCTAGAATGGGAGACTCGGAGGATCAACGGAGTGGATGTTGATTGAAGGCGCATATAGTGTTTCGGTGGCTGGGCGTTGATGTTGTCGATTCAGGAGTGGACGCGAAACCGCAAATCCGCAAATCGGGAATTGTCAACAAGGAGCTTGGGCCACTAGTCCGCGCCTGGTGAATTGGACTTCAACGATAATTCGAGTTACAGATATTAAATATTTTACTGATTATAGTGCGATATATAGTGCGATAATACACATGGGCCGATATTTGTACTAAAAGCTAATCGGTAGTGGTTAATGGGTCGAGAAGTAATTGATTCTCTTCGTGTATATCATGAGGTCTCCTCTCAACTCCATAGACCAGACCAACTCGGACCAATTGCTTGATTAATTCCCATTTTGTTTTCATGCAGCGTCGTAATTCGTGATAAAAGCCAGCGCTCAAGCCCATCCAGGCAACAAAAAGTGTTGGCGGAAAGAGGCCACCAGAGATTCCTTTAGTCCAAAAAGCACAAATCATCAGACATACTTTCCGCAAGAGTTGTATTTCCAGGTGTCATAGACAATACTTCGGCTTTCTGAGTCTCTGCTCTGCTAATCGCACTGCCCACATCCCTGTCAGAGGTTAGCCAGACTGGCCAAGACAAAGGAGGATAGGTTATTTACTCGACAGAACTACTAATTACGTAGTTCCCTTCCTCCAGCTCATCGGCTAGTTCCTGTTGATGATTATCGGCAAGGTCTGGATTAGGGACCACAATCAAAGGCACGCCCAAGCGAAGTCCTGCCAGAATAGTCCCAGTTCCTGTGAGATGGTAAGTGGATCAGGGCATCCATATTGGACAGGCGAATATTGATTTTCATACCAGCGTGACAAATGATCAAGCCGCGCTTTTGGTCCAGAGCCTCTCTTTCCACGGTCATCATCATTTGGGCATCGATGCTCGGCTGGAAGTCGAAGCCCCCTAGGGTGATACCGTGGTCGGGTTGGTCACTATCGACGAAGTTTTGGAAAATCTGCTGGCCATCTTTACCGTACTGAACAAGAAGATGGGTGTAGCCGTGTTTGGCTAGGATCTCGAGAAATTGTGAATTAAGTACTTGTTCAAGTAGTTTCTGAAAGGAAGCCGTGGCCCCCACAGTCACAAAACATAACTTCATAGTGGCGATGTTATTAGATCGAAGTAAGCAGAGAATCAGTCTTGAAAAGTTCTCTCGTAGTCAATCATCATCTCCATATAAGGGAATTGTCCAATCCAAAGATCAGCATATACCATGCTATCACGTGAGAACGAACTACACTAGTCCTAATCTGGAATAGCGTACGGCGGTGAACCTCGCAAAAGTGGAAGCGGAAAACATCGTGATTGAGATCCTGTCCCTACCCACGCTATACCCTCAACAATGGCTTCAGCAGCTCGGTTACTGACTCGCCCGGTCGGGCATCTGGCTCGGAGGGGCCTCATCGCCCCATCTGCTCGGTACTTCTCCGCCTCGCCGCTCAATCGCGTCCAGGATGACCCCGTGATTCCTCCTCCGCCGAAGGAACTCAGACCGGAGGATTTCCCCCCAATGCCTGAGTACTCAGTCGATCTCCTTCCCAAGGAGCAGCGCTCAATGTACGATATGATGTCTCCCGAGGAGCGCGCGGCATTCGACGAACAGAACATCCGCATGGTTGCCGAATTCAACGACCCCAGGAAGCGCGCCGCGGCCTTTGAGGAAATCGAGCAGAGCATGCTAAGGATTGATAAGGAAGAAGATCTCCGATTCGAAGAGCCTCGGCCCCGTCGGGCTGGTTTCTGGGCTGAAGACGAGCCTGACGAGTTGGTGAACACACTCGAGGATGGAGATGAGGAAATCAATGACGACGAAATCACGTCCCTAGCACATGCAGAGATGGAATTGCACCGTGAAATGAGAGAATATGCCCGCATTACCGCATGGGACATGCCAATGCTGAGCAGTAAGATCAATTGCTCATCGGACTAGTCTTTCCACTAACGTTGAACTAGAGCTCGCCAAACCATTCACCCTGCCTCCCTCCACCCACATTCTGCGCTTCCGCTACACTACCTACATGGGTGAACAGCACCCAGCAGAGCCGAAGGTCGTTGTGGAGCTTGTCTCCCAAGATTTGACTCCCAAGTATCTCACCGAAGCCCAGCGCCAAACATTCCTCAAGCTGGCCGGTCCGCGCTACAACCCGCAGACCGATATCATCCGCATGTCGAGCGAGAAGTTTGGCTCGCGCGCCCAGAACAAGCGCTACCTGGCAGATCTCGTTAACTCGATGATCAAGGAGGCCAAGGAAGGCGACTCCTTCGCCGATGTCCCGCTCGACCTCCGCCACCACAGGCCCAAGACCAAGCTGCAATTCCCCGAATCCTGGAACATGACCGAGACCCGTCGGAGTCAGCTGGCTGCGCGGCGCAAGGAGCGTCTAGTTGCCGAGGAAGAGCGAGCTGCCCTTGTGGACGGTAATTCGGTTGTCTCCGAGGCTATCAAGACTCTGCCTTCACTCAACCCTGCTCTCCAGGTCAAGGCCGCTGACGAGCGGGAGCGCGTTGCTGTCAAGGTTGGCGCTCGGAAAAAGGTGGCTCGCCGGTAATGGATGTCGTCAACTGTATATTGGGTGTGTTTGAGAAGCTGTTGTCAAACATTTGCGAGGCGCGGGCGCATATTTCAGGATTTTTGGCATTTTTCTTTCGAATGTACTATAGTCATTTTATTCCATGCATTGGCGGCTCGCTGTTGTTCCATTTGTAGTTTGCCGCTTGACTTACCAGCGAGTACAACTTAGATCTCTACTTTACTCGCAACTGCGTAGAGACTACTAGAGAACCGAAATGGCAATAAAACATTGCATTGATAACTGGTCATAGCCCAGTTCCTCTGTAAAACAACAACATCCCGTCCATGATGGAACAAGGCCCCGCTGCGGTTCCAGGTAAATAAGAATAGAAGCAAAACACGCAAAAATCACAACTCCATATGGGCACATTTTTTTTCCATATTTTGAACGCTTGAAACGCTTGAACGGTGCCACGCAAAGAAACAATAAAAATCAAATAAAGAAAATAAAGAAACGAAAAAATTGACCACAACTGCCTCTCCACCATGAGGATTGTCGTCATGACTATTCCATTTGCTTGGGTATAGCCTGTGGTATGATATGGCATAATTATCCGGTAGATCGACATCGAAAGAAAACAACATCCAAGCACCAGATCTCATACGCCTGAAGAAACAATCAGGGAGCGGCATCATGAAATCATGAGTACCACTCCAGGCCAAGCATGCCTGACTGAATTGTTTCAGACAATCCAATTAGTTGCTGCGGCGGAGACTGTTGGAGTAAGGTCCAAACATGTGCGAGATGTTCTCGAGAGGAGGGCTGGTACGCTTGAGAATGGGACCTCCAATGGGACCCCAGGTGACACGGGTGTCATTCGAGCTCAGGGGCACATTGTCGTTGAGCTGAAGATCTCCAATGCGGGGAGTGGAAGATCCGTAATCCCTCTGGACGGTGGCACGAGAGCTGTTCGACTCCGACTGCTTGCGAGCAGGGATATCAACGTGAGCGAATGAACCAAAGTTCGAATCCCACGCGGCATGGTTCTTGGGGAACATGACACCACCATCGGAAGAAGTGTTCGAGTCGTGCTGGTACACGTGGGAGGACTGGACACGGTGGTTGGGCTCAATCGGCTTGTTCAGGGCGTCTTCGAAGGTATCTTCATTACACTCGGTCAGGCTATTGATATTCCGGTAGAGGTTCCGGGTTTGAAAGTTACCGTCATCCAAAAGACATTCGTTGGGACGTTGGTCGGTATCGATAGTGATCATGCTGCGCAGCGCGGGGATAGGGGTGCGAACTTGATCGCGGCCAAATGCCTGAGTGTCATAACGGGCGATAGCTGAGGCGCGGGGGGAACACTCGCCGCTGCGATCGCTGTCACGCTCGCTCATCATACCGTGACGAGTTGAGCCCATGTTTCGGTTACGGCCACCACGGTGGGAGCCTTTCCAGTTGCTGACATGATGTCCATTGGGAGCCCCGTTTCGGCCACCGCGGTTACCAAACCCGTTGTGACCTCCACGGTTGGATGGTCCACGGGGAGGGGACTTGGTGAACTCGGCAGACTTGCTCAATTTCGGGGTTTCACAGACATTGGACGCCTTGTCGGCGTTGATCTCGTCAGTAGGCGAAGCCGAGGACGGCAGGGCCCGCATGGGGGGTTGCTGATCCGCAATGGTCAGCTGGGGGCGATTACGATTTGGGTGCAAAAGGCTGGTTACGTTGAACTTCTCGCGGTACCAGCGGGGAATATCACGCAGCCCAAGTTTCTCAATCAACTCCTGCTCATTGGGCATTTCATGTTTGTACAAGCAACCTGTGACATCGGGTCAGTCAAGGCCTCATAGAGTCTCCGTCATGTGGTCAACTTGCCTTGCTGGGAGTAATCGCATTCACCGTGGCGAATCCAGTACGAGCAGTATTCCTTCTTGGAAGTCGGAGCCTATGTTGAAAGGGTTAAATAATGGACCATGACATGACAGGAACACTTGGCCATACATGCTTGTTGCCGACGTGGTTGTTCTTTGTCTGGAATGTCGGCGCCATTGGAGAAAGTCCGTTGGAAGGAGTGCCTTGACCGACACGTCCGTTGTCGATTCCCTTGAAGAGAATGGCTTTGGCAGATGCCTGCATGTCCTCAGGGACATTCTTATCGGTGATAAGCTGCAGCAAGAGGCTGTGCATATCAGGCAGACCCTCAGAGGACTTGGGAAGTCCCTCGACAGACCAAGGTTCGGGACGTTGGGCAGCCAGGCCACAGCTGGTCATACCCTGGGTCTCCCCAGCAGTGATGATACGAGGGGCACCATGGATGGTGACGTTAGTGGGTAGCTCATCAACTGCTACCAGAGGAGTCAAGGACCCATCAGGACGGGTGCAGAAAAATTGAGGACGACCAGGAGCCGCCATCTTGACAAAAGGCAAATCTTGCTCAAGAATAAAGATGAGAGACTGGGGTGGATAGGATTGTGCAGTAAGAATGGTCTGTATGGTACAGAAAGGAAGAGGTAAGAGGGATGAAGAAAATAGGTGGGAAGAAGTGTTTGTGCGAGAAGGGGGGGGAGGTGACAGGTGACAGGTGACAGGGTGATAGCCCTAGAGTTGACAAACAGGACAATAGCAAAATGGGAAGATGGGATGGGAAACTGAGATTCGGGAAAACACAATCTCATATATTGGAGAGCCCCAGCTCATGAAGCCTGCCTTGCGCTAACTATCTACATATCAAAGAGATATATGAATTAGATCTACTCAATGAACTATACTATTCTAGATACATCGGATATACTGAATACACAATGGGATCTATCTGTGTTTAAGCTCACAATAAGGTCGCCATGACAAAGACGCCCTGGTCCATCAGACCGGGAAATGAGGGTACAATGTTGCAGGTGGCATGCAAACATCATTCTATGCATATCAAAGAGCAGATAGATCTAGAATAGTGTAGGAATAGACCAATTAAAGGCACGAATAAGCTGTGTATCATTCGGCGACTGTTACATTTGGCGCGTAAAGGCATCGTGGACGTGTGTCTTGGCAAGGTTGGCCGGCTACCTGCAGAACATACTTAGTCCAATTCTAAATCTGACCTTCCATGCTGCTTCTGCATGTTCCTTGCCTTCAATGTGCTTATATCAATGCTACATATGCTTAAGGCTCCACCAATACTCATGTCCTTTGTATTGTTTCTATGGGTAGAGGGTGGGACACGAAGAATATACTAGTACAAACAAAGATTGAAGTCTTACTATATGAGAATGACACAATGATTTAGTCTCTTGGTTCGTCTAGGTCTGTGTGAGTTATGTTGTCTCGTAAATATACACCTCTTCGACCCGGTACGACTTATCGTAGCGTCCCTTTCCACCTTATGCCAACTATATTTATTACCTTGGAACTATACATCTTACTTTCAGTACTCTAGAAAAGCTACTAGGCATTCTTTTTCACATTAAGGAAAACTTGTATTGCTTGCTTGAAAATAGGACAAAGTGCTTTCGGGCGGTCACCACAACTACCACAACCCATCTAACCTGCAAGTAGCCTATAAACACATCTAGAGGCACAAAGTCGAAATTGATCATGAGCCCAAAGAATCCAATAAGAAATATCATCTGGTGCTGTTCTTCTTTCCCGTCATGTTGCATGTTGTCACAATAGACAATGCGGCTCGGGTACGGGTGGCTTAGCTTAACCTAAATTTTCCGAAGCCAACAATCATTGGCTGCAGAATAAAATCTCCGAACGTTGCAAATCCACCAAATCTAGCGTAAGATTCCAAGCCAAATAAACCCTTGTATAGAAACAAAACAAATGAAACGAAAAAATTTATCAACTGCAATTCTGCCAAGGCTATCCTGATGGATGACCTTGGCCATGGTATGCTCCACTTCTACAACCCATCCCAGGGACTTGACAGCCGGTCCTCTTGCTTGAACTGGTTGTCTAATTCCTGCATTGAGATACTTCCTTTCATTTCATGTCTCCATTATCATCTTGGCTGGATTTCCCCCGCGTTATTTTGATTGTGTACCGAAGCGTTCTTCTGGTAGCATTCTCGCTTTCTTGACTTGATTCTGTCGGCGTTTTTCTGTCGCCATTCTCGAGATCTCGAGCTGAGTCGCTCTGCGTTCTTCCGCCAGTGTTCTCGATTCCTCAACCTGATTCTGTCTGTGTTCTTCTGCTGTTGATCCGTTTCTTTTCTTCGACGACCTCACCCACATCCAAGTCATTGTTCAGCTCATGCTTCAGTTGCAGCAGGTCTCTTGTTAGATTAGATGGAGCTAGCACCAAGCTAGCTGGGTTGTAGTTGTCGAGACCAGTGTAATTTTACTAGAAAACATGCGGAATGCTGCCAGACACTGGCCACAACTGGAATAGTTCCCATGGATAATATGACAATTCAGTGGCCTTTGACAGGCCTTAGTTACTCTCCCCATTGCCTGAAACATACGATGGAGAGCTGGCCTTTTGGCTTTGTGTCAAGGGATCTCGGAACATGTGTAGGGGACTAGACTGCGCTTAGAGTCAGAGTGGTGGAAATTTGCCGTCGGCCCATTTGGCTGGATCTTGAAGGCTAATGGCATATCAGTATCCTAGTAAGATGGTTCTTGTTTGAATTCAGTAGCGGTGGAGGCAGGGAAGAGGGACATGTGGAGTGATGAAGAAGGATGTCCGTATGCACCTCTTTGTTTATTTAAAGATTTTGCGTGTCACCACTAAAAATCCCTACGGCTTATATGGTGAGATTTAAATGTTTGCCTGATTTGGACTGCTTTCTAGTCGTCATTGATATCGGAAACTATCCTATCTAGTAAAGTATTTGCTCAAAGGTCCATAGAAACAAAAGAAATGGATGCAAATAACTAAAAACATCGATCTCTCTACTTTCCTGCGATACCATCGCATATCAGAGTGGACCTACTTGTTCTACGGAGTACAACATGCAATACTATAATCATACAACTTCATATTGATTCTCTCAATTTACTCAATGTATCAAAACAAAGCTGGATCAAAACAAAGCTGGATCAAAACAAAGCTGGGTATCTTTCGCTCATAACGCTCAGAACAACCCCCCCTTTTTTTGGGAGACATACCAAACTCTCCCAATGCAAGTACACAAACAAAACAAAACAAACCAAAAATCAGAGAAAGAAAGAGGGGAGCCGCGGCTCATCTCTGACGGTAATCACAAAGTGATCAAAAGACGCCCCTACTGGGGCCGGCCGTGGCAGTAGACATTATTTAGTCTTTCGACTCAGTACTTGCCCCTGTTAAATCGGTAGGGGCACGGCTCACCCCGCTAACTGAGGGCGAGGTGAAAATCCGAGACTCCGCCTGAGTGGCAGACGAAGCCTTGCTCCGGGCAGTCTGCCCCATTGATTTGAGAACACCCCGAAGGTATTTTTTCGCCTTAAGGATGAGGGCCGGGTCCTCCGGGCTCTCTTCCAGCGTATCCAGCATAAGGCTGACCTGCACCCGTGACTGCAGGTGGGGGCAGATCCGGCGGCCACCCCAGTGCGCCAGGCCGCAGAGGCCACAGAACTCGACACCAGCCGAACGGAGTGGGCACTGCCCAGGGATGTGGCGTTGTTTGCACGCCACACAAGGACGGATATCAAGGTGGTAGGTCACTGGGGGCGGGGAATTAACACAACGGAACGCGCGTGCGACTGAGAATCATGTACAGTTAACGAACTGTGTCTTTACACGGCAATACGGAATGATAGGGTATTAAAATCAAAAAAAAAAAAAAACAAAAAAAAGCAATAACTAGGATACGCATGGAATATGGATTAGATCTCACCTTGCTGTCCTGCACCTACATGAAGACCAGGTGTGACAACATTTGTAGTGCCCATTTGTGCCTCAGTCCTGTCGCCGTCATTTGCGGTGTCCATTGGCTCAGCTCCATCGTATGTAAGGTCCATTGGCTCAGCGCCGTGATCGGACTCGAACTCGGTCTCATCACCATCATCCTCTGGCTGTTGGAACTCATCGTCATTGTCAGCTGCACGCTTTCGCATCTTGCTAGGCGGCTTTCGGGGGCTAAGATTCTCATCGTCGTCAACTCCTTCGATAACAATATTGTTATTGTAGCGGGGTGTGCCGCGCTTTCTTTTACCGCGCCCAAGACCTTCAGCTTGACGGTTAGCTTCCTCCTGCGCTTCACGCTCACGCTCCTGCAGAATCTTCTCCCACGCCGTAACATCCACAGGCGTGTCCTCAGTCTCAGTCACTTCTTCAAGGCTACCTCGATCCTTTTGCCACACCCGGGCGAAATTGAACTGCGTCTGCTCATTCTGGTCCGAACTTCCCTCGCTGGCAATTTTCTTGACCTGCTCAGCCTGGCTACGGTCCAACAGCTTGTCAATGGAGTCCACATCGTAAGTAATGTCTGCCGAGTCATCGTCATTGAACAGTGCCTCCGCACCATGCTTGAGGATGGACTCTAAGTCTTCTTTATCTTCATCGGCCTCGATGCGATCGATAAGTACGTGATCGAGTGCCATCTTGGTTTTACCTTTCTGCATGATTTTTTCCTCCACTGACGCGCGCACTACCAGGTGGAAAACAAGGACTGTATTCTTTTGCCCGATTCGATGAGCACGCGACAGAGCCTGCATGTCTTGTTTTGGATTGAAATCCGGATCCATGATGATGACCGTATCGGCAGTGGCGAGGTTAATTCCGACACCACCGGACCGCGTCGAAAGCAAAAAGGCAAAGAATTGGGATTTCGGCGCGTTAAACTGGTCGATCTGTTGCTGTTTTTCCCTCGAGGATAAGTTTCCATCCAGGCGACAGTACTGGAGTCCCAGTCCAGTGAGGAAGTCTTCAACAATGTCGAGGTTCTCTAAAAATTGACTGAAGATGAGGACGCGGTGTCCACGCTCTCGAAGTCGCGGTAACATCAAGTTCAGCAACGTAAGCTTCCCGGATGCTTCGACCAAACGCCGATGGGAAAGCTGAGAGTCCAGAGTCTGCTCTTCGATGTCCCGGTTATAAATGAACGGGTGACAAAGACATTTGCGCAGCTGCATTAGGATATTGTTCAAATTATGGCGCTCTGCTTTCTTCAACTGCCCGACTTGCTTCTTGCAAATAGCCTTGAGAAGCTGCGGGTTCTTTTGAAGGATCGATTTGTACAGCTTCTTCTGCACAACAGACATCGAAACTGGAATGATGATTTGCACCATCGGGGGTAGGAACGGCAGAACCTCTGCCTTTGTTCGACGCAGGAGACATGGCCGAATCATGTCGTGGAGCTCGCGAATCGCTTCCCTGTCGAGGGCTCCTGCGTATTTGGCCTCCAACTCCTCCGCATTGTAAGTTGGGTCGATGAACTGAACCAAGTTGAAGAGCTCTCTGATATTATTTTGAAGCGGTGTACCAGTGAGCAGCAACTTGAAACCGAATTTCATGCGACGAAGACGCTCATAGAGCTGGGTCTTGTCATTCTTGAGGCGCTGACCTTCATCAACCACCAAGCCAGCCCAATTGATACTGGACAAGACTCGCTTAGCCCCATCGTCTGCCATGCTCTCATACGAAGCAATAACCACATGGCAACATAGAGTGCCATTCTCGTCAAACATCTCATGGTCCCTGGCCATCTCGCGAGCGAAGGCACTCCCATAATAGGTGACAACCCGGATGTGTGGCGACCAGCTCTTGATCTCTCGGCGCCAGTTTGGCACAGTCGCATTTGGAACAACGACCAAGAATGGAAAACAGTCTAGCTTATCGATCAATGCCGCGAATAGGGTGATGACCTGGATTGTCTTTCCGAGGCCCATATCGTCAGCAAGAATGGCGTTGGTTTGCTTGAAGAACATGTACAGCAGCCAATTCACGCCTTCCATCTGATAATCCATGAGCTCACCACCGGTCACCAACGCAGGCTGAGCAGTCAGAAGAAGGCTCTGGTCAAACTTCTCTCTACGGACATCTCTGAGACGGCTTTGAAGATCTTTCGGCTTCGGGACGTGGACATTCTCTTGGCGTACTTTGTCGATAAGAGCGGTCTGGAAATCCTCCCAACGAGCTGTGTCAGTCTGTTCTGGGGGAATTTCCCAGACTGAGTCTTCGTATGACAACCCTTTGTACTTGACGTATGCCCGTTCGACCATCTTGGCGTTTGCTCGATCCTCCTGGGATTTAGGCTCGGTGTGATATTCCACATCAAAAACAATGTCCACTCGCAGATTGTCTTCGGGGACAGCCTCAGCTACTGTCATAATCGGTTTGGTGGATCTTTCTGACTTGAGAAACGCCTTCATCTGGCTGGCAGGAATCCTGGCCCAGACCCAGTCTCCAGTCACCCAGGTAACACGGAAGTAGGACAGCTTGTGCCACTTGACGAGATATAGTTTGTCGATCTCTGGGATCATCTCAACCAACTGCGAGACGACTTTGACTTCGGGATTCCTTGGTTTCCAAGCAACGATCACCTGGATTGGATTGGCACCAGGAGGTGATTTAGAGCATTCGTCGCATTGCCAGTTATCAGGATCAATGTGGGTAAGGTTCTCCTCTGCCGTGTTTGGTAGATGCTGAATATGGAAGGCTCGCTTGCAGCTATGGCTGCCACCAAGGCATCTGATGAGGATATTATCGACATTGTTGACACTGGACATATCCACGGGAGTAATCGGATCTATGCCACCATTGGCTTCCCGCAAGTGCTGCTCAGTCTGGGAAGAAAGAGTCTCTCGCAACGGCTGCGACATGGGTCCTTCGTCTCTACACACGGCACAATGGCCTAAATGAGGCTTCATGTCATGCTCTTGGTGCTTGATCCCCAAACACCGACTGCATTGAAGAATGAAATCCCCTTCGTCAACCTTGGTGACCAAGTGCTTTCGGCTGGTTCGATCGCCAAGACAACCTTGATGGTATGACACGGTACAACCTTGGCAGAAGACCAAAGACCCCTTTTCACGGTCATGATCTCCATGGCCGCATTGGGTGCATGACTGGGAGTGGCACAATCTGAATTTATTGTCCTGTGGTAGTTCACGGAACTGCTCCCTCGCACCCGAGAACTTTTGGTGCTTAGGCTGCTCAGGTTCAACCGCAGAATATTCGTCGTCTTCGAAGCGTTCTTTCATATTGCGTCGACGGGTCTGTCGCAGGCGAGATGATACTCGTTTGCCTGTATCAGAGGCAGAAGACTGTTCAGACCATTCGCGATCACGTTGCTTTCGGCCCCTCTGCGCACCCCTTCTCGGAGGGCGGCGTTGGCGGCGTTTGGTTGGAGGATCATCTTCATCTTCATCCTCATCACTGGACTCCTCTGAGTCAATCTCTTCACGGCGGCTTTGATAGTCGTCTTCATCTTCTTCATCATCACTGCGGAAGAAATTGTTGTATGAGACCAACGGCGCGCGTCGTTGGCGGTTTCGTGCAATTCCCCAGTCCATATCTGAATCATAGTCCGCAGGACCATCTCCACCCGCGTAAATGAAATGTGGGATGGGGGAGTGGTCCATTGCGAGGGGGTCAGGGCTCTGTGAGTCACGGTTGAATTCACGCAAAGCCTTTCGTCCGTTCTTGAGGCTTTTCAAATCTTTGGTGGTCATCTAGTGAAAGTCATGGTCAGTTGAACGGCGCCTAAGATTGATTGATTACTTGTGTTCGCTTACAGTTTGAACTTCACCACTTTTGAGTCTCACAATGAGCTTTGGCTCATGCATGTCGACTGCAAGAATGCGATGAACCTCAAAGTGACCGGGCAAATACTCATAGTCATCAGGGTTGTTAACCACTGGGACGATGATCTCAAAAGACATTGTTGATTCTTTTGAGTTTCTAGTGATATGTTGCACTGGCTGGAGGGCATTTTCAGGACCCTCAGGTGGGATGGTGGGAGGAGTACAAGAGGGAGCGCTCTGGAACTGTGCTAGCAATTGTGCAGCCACAGCATCAGCATCATCAGAGCTATCAGAGCCTGGAGAATTGTCTCTAGATTGAGACATGGTGATTTTCCGATTGGACCAAGAATCAGCAAATTGGGATGGCGTAGGAACCGCACATGCGGCTCCTACAAAGAGAAAAGAAAAGTCAACTGAACTGAAGCTAAGCAGTGAATGGATAACTATTTGATTGATGATAGGATTGCAGATCCCAATGGGAAAAAAAAAGCAAACTTTGCGTGGACTGGATGCTCAAAGGAAAGATGAATTCAAATTGATAAAGAACGGAACGAATGAATGGATGAAGAAGAGGAGTGAGAGAGAAAAACAAAGTCGAAGTCGAGAAGACTAAGTGGGAAGATTAAGTGGCATACACGAGAAGTTCGCGTTGCGCGTCTAGATCCGATAGCGATAAGTACGGCAGAGGGTACATACCGATCGTGCAATTCGATGTCGAAGTTCTCCAAAGCCGCACGGACGAAACTGCAAAGACCAGAACTTCGTCGCGATGCTCAGTACTATCTCAAGAACGGGCCTGGATGGTCTTTCTAGAGTGATCCGCTCCTCGCATTCTACGGTCTTGGCGATTCGGCATGCATCATTGAATTCAGCAATTGGCGAAGGTATTCGCAGATCTCAGACCGCGGACAGAGATAATCGGCGCGGCAACGACACTCGTTTTCCTAAACGCGAACGAGAATACGAGGGGAAATACGGGGCGCGACAGTATGAGAGATCAGGCGAATCTAATTTCGCTGACCGTCAAACCAACGGATCCCGACAGTATGGGCAGCAAAAATACGAGAGATCAGACCAAACCAACTTCAATGACCGTCGAACAGATGGAGCACGACAGTATGGAGAACAGAAGCCCGAGAGATCGGGATTTAACTCCGGTGTTCGTCGAAGCTATGGCCAGGGTGAGCGAGAATACGGAGCAAAAAAGCCCTGGACATCGGACGGTGTAGGTCGTAAAGACTATGACCGCCGACAATCGCCATGGAATGAGAAGTCTCAATCACCACGAGAAAGCCGAAAAGAAGAAAAGTTTGAGTTCGACGAGGATGAGTTCATTCGTTCTGGTGATTTCCGAGGACTACCCCGTGAACATCAATCTCGATTCCAATCACGATTCCAATCGCGAACACAAGACAGTCCATTCGCACAATCGGGACGAGAAAGACCTTGGATGGATGAACCACGGGAGAAAGAGCCAGTAAGACCTAGGGCTCACCGAGTCACGCGCAGCATGCCAGAGCGGGTGAAAGAGAACGTCAAAGTGCCCGATACAATCCCCTACACCACACCAGCATCTGAGTTCATTTACGGCACCAGTGCGGTAGAGGCGGCGCTGCGCTGCAGTCGGCGTCAACTATACAAGCTCTATATCTATCAGAGCACGGAGGAAGAGCTAAGTGCAGCAAAGGTCACAATCCGCAAACTAGCATTGTCAAAGAACATTGCAGTAAAAATGGCATTTGCAGGGTGGGATCGACTCATGGACAAGATGAGTGCTGGACGCCCTCACAATGGGTGCATTTTGGAGGCATCTCCTCTACCAAAATTACCAGTGCGTGGCCTCCTGGCTGTTCCATCTATCTCCGAGGAATATTTCCGGACGGAGCTTGCACCACAAACCCGGGAGGAAGCTGCAGTAAATGGCACGGATGATCGTATCCAGATCCATCATCCTTCTCCGTCCCCGCATGAGGCCGAACAACGCCATAGATACCCAATTGTCTTGCTATTGGATGGAGTGGTTGATACCGGTAATATGGGCGCTATCATCCGCTCATCATATTTCCTCGGTGTCGATGCAATCGTTCTGGCTGGTCGCAACTCCGCACCAATGTCTCCTATCACAATCAAATGTTCTGCGGGTGCAGCAGAAAACATGCCTATTCTTCATGTGACAAATGAAGTTGATTTTATTCAGCGATCCCAGCAAAACGGGTGGCGATTCTATGCTGCAGATGCACCACTTCCTGGCTCTGTGCACATGGATCATATCTCGGCCGATGGTGATCAAAGCGGGGCCAAACTGCCCTCCACTACTGGGCCTAGTGTCATAATGATGGGCAGTGAGGCTACTGGATTGAGCTCGCATATCAAGTCACATGCAGATGCGATCATCAGTATTCCCGGCGCCCGGCAAAGTTCTATTCTCGGCGTTGAATCGGATCCTGCCCGCATCGACAGTCTGAATGTGAGTGTCGCCGCCGCGCTATTGATGGAGAAGTTCTTGCGAACCCCCATGACTGTCGGTGAGATCGCCAAGAAGGAAAAGAAGGAGAAAACGTGGTGATTTTACTGTAATAACTATGTATTCTAGCATTTACACTACATCTTTGTACAATAGCACATAATTGGAGTATTTGATTTGAGTCTTTGTTCGAGTCTGTTTTGAATTAGGGTTAATCACACCAGCTCGAGGAACCCACTCATGTTTTCTATTCGTGAATCGTAGCAGTTTCTCATATAGCGGCAAGTGCATTCTGTAGTAATTTATCTTCCTTGACTCACAATAAATATGTCTACAGACTCCAGTAATTCACAGTCCGTTTACATGATACATATCATATGCCTAGCTTGACTCCGGAGGCACAGAGAGATTCTGATGCAGCTCCTTTCGCTGCACAGCACCGAAGCGAAGATTGCCGGCATCGAAGACCTGTAATTATCGTTAGCTTGTGCGATTGTGAACTCCAAGAATATATCACTCACTGCATAGATAGCCTTCAGGAAGGTATCTCCCAGGATGTCCATGGTCATAGTACCACGACTCTGGATGCCTCCATAGACATAACCAGACTTAGCCTCAGCAAATCCAAGATCTTCCTTTTGCACAACAAACTGCGTATCACCAACAGCAAAAGATATAACAGGCAACTTATTAGCCGGTGTGTTGGATGGGAAGATCCATCCCTGGCTCTCATTGTCATACTCTGCCCCCGGGATAGCATCATAAATGGCCTGACAAGTCTCATCATCCACCAACGCCAAGGTAGTCCCTGTATCCGCAATAGCCTTGTTTCCAGCCCGGGCAATCGACTTCCCATTCACTGTCGCCGAGGCAGAATCGAACATCCAGAATCCCTGGCTGTTATCGACGGGAGTGTAGTAGATCTCTGCCTCGGCGGCCTTCACCGTGTCCTGATCAATATAACCAAAAGTATAGAATGACTCGCCCTTATCCGGCTCATCAGAGTCTCTCCACGACCCTAATTTCGCGGTGAAGAGCTCGGCTGACTTCGGGATATCGGTCTGCGAAATCATATTCTCCACAGGCGTGCTGACGGGCTCGGGCTTGACGGTATTGATATTACCGAACGCAAGTCCCAGCAACCCATCCCCAGCACCTTGCTCAAATTGCTCGGACAATAAATCAGCGATCTCAACGGCCTGGCCTTTGACCACCAGCCCACCGATGTTGACATTATCGTTGCCGACCGAGCCAGAGGCAGAAGAGCCATCACCGTACTTGATCTGCCACGATGAGCCTTCTTTCTCTTTATACGTGCTGGACTTGGTCGGATCGAAGATTGTATGGTTTTTGTACGCCGACAAAGTCTTAGACGGCAACTCCGTGGACCAGACCTAGACAATCTTAGCAACGTTCATATCGCACGGAGAAGAGCGAAAGAAATCCACTTACCCACAGATCCGCAGATCCGGTATCGAAGTCCAAACTGAGCGTCTGGGCAGGTGTGCCAATAGCAACTTGTGCAAGATACATCGAGTCATTCTGCACGTCGTTGGCACTCACTTGCCCAACCTGATCGCTAGTAGCATCCTTCTTCTGCAGCACCTGCTGCAACCGAGCACGGCCTCCCACGGGCTTATTGGTGTACTGTCGGCCACTTTGCACCATCCTGGTACCGAGAAAATACGGGCCTTCCTTAGTCGGCGTGAAGTGATACTTGCGCATAGCGTACAAGTACGACTTCGTGCCGGACTTCTGGTAGTGCGGGTTCGCGATGAGGTTGATTCTAGGCATGGTGGGGGACTTGGATAGTTTTGATTTGAGAAATTTGAGCATGGATGGCTAGAGCGCGGGGTCTCCTTAAGTATTTATACTATGGGATGTTATCATGCAATGAACTGGGGCTTGAAACAAGCGTCGTCATGGCTTTTAAGTATTGCGACGTCTAGCTAGGAGGCTAGGCATTTTTTAGATTGAGACCAAGTCTAGAAACCTGAATTTCCGTCATTGCAGGCGACTCAGGGTTAGTGTTGTTTCAGCAGCGTGATATGGCGCCAGGGTGGCATCCGATCTGCACGGCGTTGCGGACTCCGGTCAGGCGGGGGTTTTCGGAATATGCAGGGATTGTACAGGAAAATATACGATAAGCCTTTGCAAGTAGAACAAGTAACTCTATTTCAATTACAAAAGTACATTAAAACATCATCTGCGCCGATCCCTAACAAAACCGTCCCTAATACCCGAATCACCAATAACAACCGTAGCAAACTAGCAACGTACACACCCGTGGACACTCGATCCACACGATTATCTCCTGCGAGTTTTAGACTTAGTTGCGGGAGCACTGGGAGCCCGGGAGCTGGCGGCAGAAGCAGTCTTGCTACCACCCTTGACGGCCTTGACCTGTTTGGTCGGCTGTGAAAGAAGTTAGAACCCAAAACATTAGATAATCGATCAGACAAAACTTACAGCAGCTCCATTCTTAGCCTTCTTCTTGGCAGGGGGTGCTTCTTCTATCTCTTCCTCCTCATCACGATCACGACCACGGCCCTTGCCCTCACTGGGGTCGAACTCCTTCGCCACAGTGTTCAGAAGAGTAGTGCAGCGGCGACCAATTTCCACGGGTGTCCGACTCAGCATGAAGAAATCGAATCGGAACAAGGGCGAATCACGAATCTCTTCACGAATGTTTTCGTACAAATCCTCACCCTCAACCCCATACTTGTCCAGCATGATTAACAAGAATCGGTCCTCGTCCTCGGTGTAGACCTTTTTGTTGGTAGTGGACACGGTGTAGTTGATCTTGAGCTGCTGTAGCGGCACGCGGTACATCTCCAACTTCTTGCGGAGCATCTTCCGCTGATGATCTATCTTCCGCACCTTCTCCTCACCTTGATCGATGACTCGGAGATACTTCGGATAGTCTTGGATCTCGGTGTATCGGCGCCAGAAGACTTCGGCATATTCTTTGATCTCATTGGGATCCTTGCTATCCACCTCAGTAGCGATACCCTTGTAGTCAGTGCGACCAAACTTAGCAGATCCATTGATAAATTGCTGGAAATCACGTCGGTTCCAGGTTGCAAAGCCTTCTTCTGACATACGAGCTTTCTCGGCTTGCTCTTCTTCAGTAAGCGGGACAGAGTTGTCAATTTCCTGTTGTTCAAGGTCCCGCTCAGCCTCTCTGTCACTAAGCTCCTCTTCGGGCCCCTCAGGCAATTGAGCCTTGTAACCGATCTCCTTGTGGAAATAGGCCGTCTCCTTTTCTTGGAGCTCGTGGAGACCAGGAGGGAAGAATTGCCAGTCGTGGACAGTGATTTGTTTAGGAGCACGTGGTACCTTGGGCTTTGTGTCGGCGGTTCGGCCTCCAGTGGCCAAGGCTTGGCGGTAGTATTTATCGATGGAATAAAATTGCTCTTTGCGCTCACGCTTGGCTGGGTTGATCCAGCTGATGCCGATGTCCTTCTTCCGCTCGGTGAAATCTTTGCCGTTCCATTCATACGCACTCTCAGAGGAGAACTTCTGCAAGTCATCAATGCCGAGGGTCTCGTACTTCTTGCTGAGCTCTGCAGTTCGTTCTTCGCCTTTACGCAGGATAGTCTCGATATCCTCATCTTCGGCGAGCTCGGTTGCATCTCCACCCTTGGTGTTGAAGACGTTGGCAGCACCGTGCTGAATCATACCAAGGAGGTCGTCTTTCGAAGATGCTTTTCCGGCCTGTTGTCCGGAACGACCTTGTTGAATGACAAGCTGATCCAAGCGCAGTTTCTGAGCTGCTCGCTCCAGAACCTTCTCTTCAATGGCGTTCTCTGTGATAAACCGGAAAACTTTAACCTGCTTGGTTTGACCAATGCGGTGGGCTCGGTCCATGGCCTGCAAATCAGCTTGCGGGTTCCAGTCACTGTCGAAGAGAACCACGATATCGGCTGAGGTCAAGTTGATACCCAGACCACCCGCTCTGGTGGTGAGAAGGAAAACGAATTTGTCGGAACCGGGCTTGTTGTAGTCATCAATGGCAGCGATGCGGTCCTCATGTGCCGTGGTACCATCGATCCGGCAGTAGTTGTAGTCTCGGAAACAACAATAATCTTCCAAGATATCTAGTACACGACTCATCTGAGAGAAGATAAGGACACGACTACCGTCCGCTTGCATGCGCTTCAAAAGTTTGTCCAGAATGACCATCTTTCCGGAGTTGAAAATAAGATGTTCGTCAGTCGTATATGGAGGACCTGGTTCAGCTCCCTCGAACAGGTAAGGATGGTTGCAACACTTCCGGAGTTGCATGACAATGTTCAACAGGCGGGTCTTAGACTCGCGCTTCCCAGCGGCGCCGTTGACGGCATCAATATCTTTCTCCAGAATTTTCTGGTACCACCTCCGTTGCATTTCGGACATAGGAACATAGAGATTTAGTTCCTTTTTCGGCAGCAAACTCTTCTCGACATCACTCTTCACACGTCGAAGCAAGAAAGGCCGGAGAACACGGTGGAGTTGCTGTACCACGGTGTCTTGGTCGGAATCTTGGTTGGAGAACCACTGGTCAAATGCCTCCGAATCGCCGAAGACATCGGGAAGAAGGAAGTTGAGCAAAGCCCACAGTTCATGCAGATTGTTTTGTAGCGGAGTACCAGTAATCAGTAGCCGATTGCGGGAGTTGAAAAGGCGGATGATTTGTGACAACGAGGATTCTTCGTTTTTGATTCGATGGGCCTCGTCGATGATAATGTATTCCCAGGCGAACTTCTTCAGGTGCGACTTCTCACGGAGGATCATCTCGTAACTGGTGATGCAAACATCGAACTTTTCCTCGACTAAGCGCTCATTGATCAACTGCTGTCGTTCTTCTTTGTTACCCTGCAGCACCAGGACATCGATGTCCGGGGTCCACCTTGCGAACTCTCGCTTCCAGTTGTCCAGGGTTGACTTCGGCACGACGACCAAATGAGGTCCGTTGATATCACGAATGTAACGTAGATAGCCCAGGAATGAAATCGTTTGCAGGGTCTTACCGAGACCCATCTCATCGGCCAGGATACCCGAAATACCGTTCTCATGTAGCGAAACTAGCCAGTTCAAGCCCGCAACCTGGTAATCACGTA